TCCGCTGGAGGATTCGTGTCTGAGGTAACTGGCAGTGTGATTGGGGTGGTCGGTCGACGCTGTCCAGAGTACGACATCTCGCTTGCCTCCTAATGTGATGGGGCGAATCAGGAAAGTAAAGATGATAAGACGAGCTTGCTGGAAAGGAATAACATAACATCCACTCTATGTTGTGAAACGATAACGAACGCCTTGTGTCACGGCAGCAAGCGACGCAGAAGACGTAGGCGGGTATATAAGACAAGACTATGGGTTGTACAAGGTCAACGGTTGACAAAGTTATTGAGATAGCATATTAGTCGCCTACCTCTTTTAATCCTGGGGGAAGTGGGTATTGGCATTGTTCGTGTGGACAACGAGGGTTAATATCGACCAGACATTCTCGTTAACGAATATAATTATCAAACGATCTGTGAAGGGCAACTTTACTGGTATATTAAACATTCCGCTACAGAAAAGGTCTGGCAAATTGCCAACGTAGGACAACGGGTAAGATCTAGTTCAGTTATGACGGAGGGGTGGTCCGAACAAGTCAAACTGGTCCAATTTCCTGCAAAAAACAACAACGGAACCCAAGAACAAAACAGGGCAAAAACAAAGGCCCAAAAACCCGCGTTGCCTCAGCAAGTGATCACAAGTACTGCTGAATTGAAGTGGTTGAAGTCGGCGGCCTGCATATGACGGGCTCACCCCATGATGGGCAAACAAAAGTCACCGTGGGCAAAGAAAAGTCTACTCTTGATGCCTAGACGTCGTGGTCATCACTTGCACATAGGGTGAGGTGACCTTGGCCATGCTGGGTTAAAGGAGCGAAATGGATACGATATGTTCCTGATAGACGACCGCCAAATGAACACAATTCGCATCAGTCTTCGGGAAAAGTCCAATGGCCCGAGACAGCAATGAAAAGCGCACTCGGCTCCGCCAACAATGCCGCGAGGCATTGGCGAACCATATCTGTAACGCCTTCCCCTGCCCAAATCCGCTCAACAATATTGAACAAGCTGACATATCTAGATGATCTGCTTGCGGTGAGGGACCATCCCCGGGCAGTAAGACTGAAGCCAGGCCCAAGGGATGGGTATGCCTGGTCGGTTACTGATGCAAAGGCACATTGAATGAACACTAGTCTGGCCAATGGGTCGGTGGGCCTGTACGATGCAACATGCAGAGATATCGGTCGGTCGATCGAGGCCGTCCGTCCTGTTGCAGTGGCAGACGTGGCACGGGGCTCTGAGGTAGGCCACCCTCAACGGACCTCGGTGTGGAGGCTAATCCGCTTATCCTTCCTTTTCAGCGTCCGTCAATGTCGGATAATGATGAGTCGCTCACTGCGAGGATCGAGCGTTTAGTACGAGAAAACAACCAACAGCGAGAGGAGCTCGATCGCCTCCAACATAAGGTCACGGAGGTCACCGACATATCCGAAGGCTGGAAAATGAGATGCACGCAACTAGAAAAGGATCTTCTTAGGGAGCAAAGCATAGTATGCAGCTTGGAAGAAGCATTAAGCGATCTTCAACGCCATGTACATGAAGCTGTCCAATCATCGAGACAGCGTCGATTTCGCCAAGTTAACTGTGAAGACACTGCTTTGGCTCCCACGGAGGTTGATCGGAACTGAATGAGATATTGGGTTTCTTCGGAAAAGTAAAAGTGACCAGCTAATTACTGCTGCAACTACCAAGCACGCGGTGCGGGGGCACATTTCGTTCTTGCAGGTTCCCGCCCCTTGTTGTCTGCCGCTTGTTACTTATACAACGTCCGCAGAAAGGTGCCATAACAATCCAGTAGAGAGCTCCCTGTACTAGTGAACAGACCCGCATATTTTGTTTTCGGGCATGGCATTCAAAGAGACTATCAGCCGTGGCACTCCAGTCGTAGTTATATAAAAGACCACGCCGCTGCTTGAGAGTGCAAATATACACAGCAGCCCTTAGCCCAGTACCATACCACCCTACAAAAGCAATTTCAGTCAGAAATTGGGAGCATTGATCTCATGGCTAGCGGGGTGGAAGAACCCACGGTAGATAGAACTTTCGTGGTCATCAATGCCAACGAGAGTGACCCCAACCTTGACCACCGTGACGTCTCATCGCAGAACTTGGAAGACGATGATGTTCCTCCAATGCAAAGCACGATCGCAGAAGTGCCATTCGAGCAGGCTATAGCCGTGCTGCCGCGGATACTAGATACAATCAGTCTACCGTCCTATGATCAAACCCATATTCGTGGCCGCAGGAATGTCCTGGAAAGCAGCGACCTACCTCCTGAACCAGAACACTTCAACAGGGAGG